GGTTCATAGATCGACACTCGACCATCTCTCGTCCATTAGAAGAAATCACCGGAAAAAATTCACGCTTTGAATGGAGCGCTGCTAGACAGAAGGCATTCGAGTCTCTAAAATCAGCATTACTCGAGGCGCCAGTGTTGCAACTGGCCGATGTTGAGAAAAGCTTCACGGTAGAAACTGACGCAAGTGACTTTGCCGTGGCGGGTGTGCTCCTGCAGCAGGGAGAAGATATGGATTTGCATCCCGTAGCCTATTGTAGTCGGAAACTGTCAGCTGCAGAACGCAACTATACTGCGGCCGAGAGGGAAACGTTGGCTGTGGTATTTGCATTAAAGTGCTGGAGAATCTATCTATTCCGCCACTTTGACCTGATGACTGATAATATGGGTGTTGTCTATTTACGAACCAAACCGACTCTCACCAAGCGTGAGGCAAGATGGGTAGAGTTTTTAGCTGACTATGACTTTACGGTCTTTCACAAACCAGGAAAGAAAAACATTGCCGACCCGCTTTCACGCCGTCCAGATCTGTTCAGTGATTCTGAAATAGGCGGGTCATCCTATCCTCCTAACATTCAGTTGAATGCCATAGAGCATACCCTAGAGATTAATCCAGACTTAGCGCAGTTAATTGTCAGCGGTTACAAGTGCGACAAGGATCTTGCTCCCATTATCAGGAGACTGAGAAATTCAAGCCATGACAATCTGCACGACCGTTACCTTCTAAATGAAACACCCGGTTATCTTTATCTCAGATCTTCACCACAGAACAGGTTATGCATTCCAAAGAGTAGCAAACTCCGACTCGCCCTGCTTCAAGAATACCATGACTGTGTGACTGCGGGGCATCCCGGTCGAGATCGCACCTATTTCAGACTCGCTAGATATTTCTATTGGCCCAGAATGGGACTGGATGTAAAGGCGTTTGTCAAGTCATGTGACGTCTGCCAACGAGTTAAAGGCGGCCAGCTAAAAACTGGTCTCTTGCAGAATTTACCAGTACCCAGTCAGCCGTGGGCGGATATCTCGATGGATTTTATCATGGGTTTGCCTAGGACCGATACAGGTCATGATGCTATATATGTATTTGTAGACCGCTTGACAAAGTGTGTACATTTAGCACCTACTTCCTCTACTATTGACGCTAAAGGAAGTGCTGATCTGTATATTCAACATGTATTTCGACTTCATGGTTTGAGTTCTAATATTGTATGTGATCGTGATCCAAGATTTACGGCAGCATTTTTTCAGGAATTGTTTGATCGCTTAGGAACGAAACTAGCATTTAGTACTGCCAATCACCCTCAGACAGATGGCCTAACTGAACGAGTAAACAGAATAGTAGAGGATGTGCTGAGGGCTTTTGTAAATCATAAACAAGATAACTGGGATATGCTCCTACCTCTCTGTGAGTTTTCTATCAACAGCGCTACTCAATCATCTACAGGAAACACACCGTTCTTCTTAAATTACGGTCTAAATCCCAGAGCGCCACCCGACTTCCTCAACCCTATTCAGGGAGGCAGAGATTCAGCTGATTGGTTGCAAGCAAGACAAGACGCGGTCAAGATCTCACAAGATGCGCTAGTGGCAGCTCAAGCTCGTCAGGCCTTCTATGCAGATCGGACAAGGGTCGAGGGAAAGCTGAAGGTGGGAGATTTGGTAATGGTCTACCGGGATTTCCTCCTGACTCCTGAAGCTCGGGACCGACCATCCCATAAATTACGCCCCAAGTGGTTTGGCCCCTTTCCTATAACCCATGTGGTCGGCCCGAATGCCTACAAGCTCAAGTTGCCTCATACCAGCCGCTGTCACCCGGTATTTAATGTGTCGGCACTCCGTGCCTACGAGAAGAACGCTATTCCTAATAGGAGACAGCCTACGCCTCCGCCTATCACGGACCTTGATGGTCATGCCCGCTATGTGGTGGAGAACATTCTCAGTCACCGCCGCCGGCAGAATCAGCTTCAGTACCTAGTCAAGTGGCAAGGCTACTCTGATGCCACTTGGGAGCCTGAACATTATTTGTTGGATGAATCTGGTAATGACATTGTTCCACTTCAGAAGTACAAAACCTTGGCTTCTGCCCGCTGAGTTTTGCAGTTGAACTTCTAGTTTCACCTTACACATTTGTTGAGCTTATTACACTTTATTTGCATGGAGTTTCAGTCGTCTTATTGTGTTACTTCAGTGCGAAGCCTTTTTTCGTCTCGCACGTGTTTGCGCTTATTGTACTCTATTCCACTTGAGCATTTGGGTTATAAGCTCCTTCCTCTCCATAGGAGGGGGATGATGTAACGGTTTTCCCCTGTTCTCTATAACTTTACACTCCCTCGCACCTCATGCGTCTTACGCCTGTCTATTAGCACCTTCATTGGCGCCATTGCCACATGTATACTATCACATTTTGCATATAACTGGTCGAGGCACGCTCAACCAGGCCTCTTACTTTTCAAGTTTGATTAAACCTGTTACAGCCTCCCACAGTCCACCGACACCGATATCTAGGCAAGCGTGGTCATCAGTTGTTGGCGACCGACGCGGAAACCGCTCCCTGGCCAGTGGATGGTGGGATGGCTGAACGGACATAATATGTGCAGGGAACAACATGAAATCGTAGGAGTGCCATTTGTTTGGATGAATGCAAGAATCTCTCATCATTGCACCAGCGAGTGTCAGTGTCAGTGCAAGTTTGATAACTGTTAAATGATGATGTCAGTGCATGTAGCAAGTGTGATAACTGTTCAATGATGATGGATCCTTGCTGTTGTGTACCCTGCTGTACTGGAACTGGTCCTAGTCACACAAATCGTGTCATTTAGTCATACATAGAGATGATCTGTTGGCTACTCTCTTGATCTCCACCCTACGGGAACAGCCAACTTATCTGGACCCATCCCATAAGCTATTTCCCGGCGCTCTCTCGTGCTAACCTTTGAAAGCTTTCATACATCATTGGTAGGGCTTGGTGTGATGTTAAAGAAAGCCACTTCCTTTCCTACATTGTCGGAATCGGTCTATGCACCAGCGTAACATGTACTTCAGTCGTGGCCAAAGAAATCACACCCGCAAGTCAAAAGTAGCTCAGCGTTTGCACTCCAATGACTTCATGCACGTTCCTAAAACTGATCTGAGGGCCGCATGAGACTTGGCACTGCTTTCGTCACGTGGGTTGGCCAATTGGATTCCTTTGGCCACGACTGTTCAGTCATCATGATTGTATTGGATCATAGAGAGGTTTTGCATTCCGAATTTCGGAATGATTTTCGACTGTGCTTTTCCGAAAAAAGCGCGTTCCGAAAAACGGTATTTTCAGTGTTTTGCATTCCGAAAATCTGATTCGACTTCGTTTCCAAGGGTTGCCATGCAAAACAAAATGGAGAGCGTCGAAGGGGTTGAGCAGGATCAAATCCATGTGCGCAGGTCAAACTGAATTTGGGTGCGGTTCGAAGACGAGGACGGACTGATGGTGGACCAAGTGATCCAAAAAGCTGAAGACGAGGTTGGCGAACTACTGTCTTGTACTGTTAGTAGGCTCCAGGGCAAAGGAAGATAGAGTGTGATGAAGTGTGAGAAGATTAGTCAACATGGCGAGATCAGCGAGAGCAGCAAAACCAGCAAAAATCAAAACTACATGTACATACGTGGAAATTTTTCAAATAATCGAGAGCAGCAGAAAGCAAAAATACAAACATGAAAAATACACTTTTTTGTATTCAAATATGCACTCCCAAACATGAAAGAGCCGAAAATCTATTTTCGGAAAACCATGCACTTTCGCCACCACACTTCCGAAAGTTCGACTACTTTTTCGACTCCTGCCGCCACATTCCGAAAATAATTCCGAAATTCGGAATGCAAAACCTCTCTAATATGGAATGACGGCAAGTTAGTTCTGTGACAAACTGTACTCTGCACGACTGTAGTGTGCAGTGTGTAAAATGCATGGTGCAGTGCAACACCTAAGTACACATGTACTGTACTGTGTAGTGTGTAAAATGCATGGTGCAGTGCAACACCTAAGTACACATGTACTGTACTGTGTAGTGTGTAAAATGCATGGTGCAGTGCAACACCTAAGTACACATGTACTGTAGTGTGTAGTGTGTAAAATGCATGGTACAGTGCAACACCTAAGTACACATGTACTGTACTGTGTAGTGTGTAAAATGCATGGTGCAGTGCAACACCTAAGTACACATGTACTGTACTGTGTAGTGTGTAAAATGCATGGTGCAGTGCAACACCTAAGTACACATGTACTGTACTGTGTGGTGTGTAAAATGCATGGTGCAGTGGAACACCTAAGTACACATGTACTGTACTGTGTAGTGTGTAAAAATGCATGGTACTGACTGGAATATTGACTTGAAGTTGAACTTGCTGCTGTTTACCTAAGTAGGTATACATTATTATGCTGTTTTGTTTTTTTGCGTGTTTTTCGTTTTTTTCTTTTCTTTCTAGAACTTTGAGTTGAAGTTTTTGGAACACTTGGAAAAAATATTCATTGTGTTTATTTTGCCCGTAAAAAGAGGCTGTTACTAAAATGCATGGTGCAGTGCAACACCTAAGTACACTGTACACATGTAATACAATCATCATATAGTTAGTACGGCCTTAAGGATAAGTCCTTGTTACCTGAGATTAGTTACCAGGACAACAGGCACTTCGTAGATAACTACTCTCCCACACATGCAGGCATCTTGAAACAATTATGCTCTATTTCTGATTCCTGGTATCATGAAGTACATAGTCAGCCATCTCTCTGTCCCCACGTCGTTTCTCCACTGACCAATATTGTCATTATCAAAATTAATGTCAGCCTTTAGCATATCTCTGCTGTATTTGAGAGCGATGGAAAAGGGGATTTACATAAGGATTAGCCGAACTATAGTCACCATCAGTGCACACACAGGTGAAAACAGCTCAGTAACATGCTTCACTGCACTCATACATTGCATCCAGCACAACACATTGAGCAGCAGACAGCACACAGGCACACTGTGAAGGTCGGGTCTCCGTATGGATAACAAAAACAAGACTTCCGAATAATGATGAAGAAAATAGAGAAAGTGCAGTGCACCGTACACTAACAAGTTGTGTACCTTAATGACGTAATGACGTAATGACGTAATGACGTAATGATCCGGCAAGGCAATTGCAGCAGTGGTACATGGTGTAAACCTTGGCAAAGTGTAAACGCATCATGTTGTGCAATGATAAGGAAAACAAGTGCAAGATCAGTGCAGACACACACACACACACACATTCTGTGCTGTAATTAAAAAAGAAGGCCTGCAAAGCAAATTGCTGTTCCGACAAAGTGTGTTCCTTACAGCCACAGAAAACAAAGTAAGAAAACAGCAGAGCATGAAAATACATTGCCGACTCCAACCATGTAGAATAGCAAGCGAAAGGCAACGGCAGCGAAAACAGCTGGCAACACAACAGCAACGAAAACAGCTGGCAATGAAAAAGCAAACAAAAACAGCTGGCAGTGAAAAAAGCAACGAAAAACAGCAATGAAAACAGTGATGAGCGGCACAAAGACCACAGTGTGATCTCACATCATGGATAAAAGTAATGAAGTGCATGATCAGTCCATACACCCACCCACACACGTATTCTGTGCTGTAGTGATAAGAAATGATACAAGCGAAACAGCAGTGTACACAAACACATGTTGTGTAACTGCCACAGAAAACAAATGAAGACATCACTGCACACAAACCCATGCAATCATATTGCAGGTCGGTAGTGATGTAGACTAGCAAGGGAATAACAATGACAAAAAGCTCATTGGGGTCTGGAATGATGGGTAAAAAAAGAGGGAAACTGTGGGTAACACAAACAAATTCTGTGCTTTAGTGATGAGAAAAATAACAAGCGAAACTGCAGTGGAGTAGTTCACAAACATAATAATTGTGTCATGTAAAAATAAAAGTAAAAAACAAGTGACATCGCAATGCACACACGCACACATACATTTCCATGAGGCAATGATGGAGACTAGCAAGTGAAGCTGCAGTGAAATGCACAAAGCATGTTGTGATCAGAAATGATGGATAAAAACAAGTCGAACTGTTCAACATGCAAACAATCATGACAGTGTGTTCTGTTCCGTTGTAGTACGAAAAGCAAGCCGAACGGGAACTTCAGGGCAAACACATACATAGACATCATTGATGACGAAGAAGAGCAAGTGAAATGGCATAACACACAAGCACTTTGTGCTACAAAAATAGCTAGGCAAATTTTGCAGGCGGCAAGAAGTGTACATGCACAAACAAACACACACACTCGCGCGCACACACACACACACACACACACACACACACACACACACACACACACACACACACACACATATACAAACACACAAACAAACACTCACACACATACATACATTCATAAAACAACTTAAAAAAGACGAGTGAAGGCCATAGTGAACACAAACACAAATCCATAGTGCTCTTCAATACTGAGGCAAACAAGTGAAGGATTTGTATGCATACATGCATGGCATATGCACGGGAAGTAGTAAACAACAAATTGCCACAATGGCCAATTTCTAGCCAGCATTACTACGGATTGATAATGGAAGACATCAGACACTGTTCCGACTCTGGCGTCAGTGACCATGACAACGATAACCTGGTTTGAGAGTGCACACACCTGTAACCTGTATGTGACAAACAAACACATACATGATGTACACATCATTTATACACACGTGTACACAAATACATGTACACACACACACGCACACACGTGCACACACACACACACCATGTACCATGAATACGCCCGTCGCAAAAGAAGCACAAAAATATGCAAATGCACTGGACGTGCACCCACAGATTTTCTCTAAAAGCAACGATGGGGAAAAAAATCTGAATGAGACAGATCAAGACTTGCGCCAGATAACTCTCTAATCCACACAACTGGCGAAGCCAGGTGAATCGACCACCAATGCACACCTGGTCTACACCACATGGAGGACATCTGCATAAAACGGCAAAGACAGTTACCTATGCACATCCTACACTTGCTGGGGTAACTAGTGTAGACAGCATGCTGCTTTGATAGAAGCAGACACTTAGATTCACTGGTACCTTGAAGTAAAAATGGAGTTACTTTACCAACCAGCCTCGGCTACTGAGTACTACCAACCCAGAGCCAACAGACATACCAACAACCTCAGTCATGAAAGATATTATAGTAAGGACACACTGGATTGTGGAGCCGAAACTAGTCCAACTTCCAAATGCTTACACACACATACACACACACACACACACGCACACACATACACACACACACCACACACGCACGCACACACACACTCACTCACGCACGCACACATGGCACACATGCACTAAACACACTTCAGTGCATACTTGGTCCATCTAGTAAAAATTGGCGCATATCTTCGCATTTGATAATAAGTTGATTTTTTCGGTGTTCTGCCTGTGTTACACGGCATGGAAGCACCGATTCACGTTCTAACACAACCATTGTGCATTGCTTCCGACGACATGGCAGCACAAATCATCACAGAAGTTGCGATCGGTTCGTTTGAGTCTTTTCACTGGAGCTGGCGCCAACGAACACTTCCGTCAGCGCAAGAAAACGCTGCAACCTCTGTTCCAGTCCATAAAATAAGTCGGGATGTTCGCATTTCAGAGCGAAGGAGAATACACTTTCTGCTTACTTCCAGCTGTCTGGTGGCGAGAATGTTTGACCGCAGGGAGTGATAGAAAAGCGGGAAAAGTGCTTCGCGAGCTTGAATTTCAATGCTCGCACATTACAGCGCCCAGTGAAGAGTTATCACCAGCAAATCGCTGACGAAGAAACTACAGCTCATGTAGACATCTCCAGAACATGATACCAATCTGGCAGACACACTTTGAAGACACACTTTGAAGCTCACAGAGGACCGGGCAAAGGAGCTAATCAAAATATACACCAAGTCCTGAGGGAAACACTCGTGCAAAGGACTTTCAGGAAACCAGCCGAAAAGACTGGTGCAATGCGCTGTGACTTAGGAAGTGAGGTGCAGTAGATCTACACATAGGTGTTACATCAATCAAGAGGAAGCTATCACTGCGGCCAAACAATTTTCAAGCAGTTGTCATGGCAACCGGCAGTGGTGATGTAATCATATAGGAGTGTGCTGATCACTGACCTGATTAGACTCGATCACTCTCCGTCAGCAAACTGTTCATCTGCTCAAGCCGTGTTGTGTACAGTTGTCCATAACCCTTGACGATGTTGCACAGCTTGATGTAGCCATCACGTTCCTGTGCCATGATGATATCCAGCAGCTCACAGTTGTGGGCTTCCTTACCACGGTACTGCTCAGTGATCATAAGCTTGTTGATCTGAGCAAGATCCGTAAAGAAGCCGTGCTTCTGCGCTTTGCCACGTAGGCCAGCAGCACCTAGTGATTGCAGCCAGATGTGGATATCAGCAATGAAGATGGCGTGCTTGAATGGGTTCTTCAAGAACGTCTCTGAAAAGCAGAAAAGAACGTGATCATATATTGCTGAGGCCAATGTACAATCTGATCCGGTACTGTTTCTGCCAAAGCAGCAAAGGCAGTATAAATGTTCTGCAGACAAAGTGCCTGTTACGTCAAATGATCAAATACCCTTAGAAACTATTCCAGCCCGTCAATTTTATTAAATAAACAACGAGGAGATAAAAGCTTTCCCTGATAAGTCTTTCATGAAAATTGATTAGGAAATTTTGCTTTTAGATTCATCATATTCTTCTCTTTTTGTTTCGTATCCTCTGCCTCACTCATACTATTCTTGACTTGTTTTATCGGTTGAACGCGTCCTTATCGACATCAAGCTTTTAAGTTGTGCATTTGCCTCATAATGCATGCTGCCAGAACACTCTGGTTGACCTTGCTATGAATGAAGGCACACTTTTCACAACTGACAATAACGAGATTGTTTCAATACTTCTACACCTAGATACCTGACAGTAACGAGATTGTTTCAATACTTCTACACCAAGGTACCTGACAATAACGAGATTGCTTCAATACTTCTACATCTTGGTAGATCTACCTGCCATGGAATTTGCCTTCACGGTGCTTGCAGTACTTTTCTCACGGTGCGTGCAGTACTTTTCTTCTCTCCAGCACATTTCAGGACAGGATGATACAGATTTTGCTCTAGCTCGTTTTTGCTCTCGCTTTCATTTTTAAAACTCACACTTGTGAATTTCACTGCTGTTGTTCTTAGCGTTATTTCTCTAACTTAGATTTTCTATGATAGCTCCATTTTGTTTCAGTGTCCTTTAGTACAACAACGATTCGTGATGAGTGGTGCACGAAAACTTGTTCGAATCCTTGTTTTCTCTACACAATTTCTGCATATTTTCATCGCTTTATTGTACATTGTCTCCACCGTTTCACATTGTATGAATAAAGTGTACACAAAATGTTGATTCAGCTTGTCTTATTGATTGCGGTTATCAAATTATTATCTCCTTGCCGTTTGTTAAAGTATACTTATACCTCTCCATATTCACCCTATCATCCCTACAGCCCAACAAACGAGTCACGTTTGTCATAAATGTACATGTACGCAGAACTAACGTAAGTCATTGTTACTTCACTACACACTGGCATGTTCTTGCATGAATCGGAGAGTGATGTGTTCCTGACAGAGTCTTGTTCAACTTTTTGTTAGGATCGATCGTGTAGACATACAGCACCGAGTACTGCTCTCTTTACAGTAAGTATGGAAAAGTGGTGAATAAGTGGTGAATATCAAGCAATATCCACCACTCCGTTGATAGTCAATTGCATGTGGGTGAATATGGGATGAAGTATAAGCCAGTGTATATAGAGCAAGAAGGGTAGACAAGAAGGTATGTATTTTTGTGTGTTTTCGTGTATGTATATAGCATACAGACAGACTAAGACAACAATGGTAACAGCACACAAATTGAAGGCAGTTGAGTGCAACTAGATGAGAACAGTATAAAGAGAGCAGTCTTATGTTAAAAGGAATAACGCACCTGTTTCTTCAGAGAGCTCCGCTTCATCCTCCTGACACAGGTTTGCAATGCGTTCGTCCGTTGACCACATGGCATGGCTGAAGATGCACACGCACACCCACACACACACACACACACACACACCACACACACACACACACACACACACACACACACACACACACACACACACACACACACACACACACACACACACACACACACACACACACACACACACACACACACACACACACACACACACACACACAAACACACAAACACACAAACACACACACAAACACACACACACACATTCAAAATGAACAAACATGAACATACTAACTATTTGATGACATACATCGATACTTGCACACACATGTAGATGACCATATTGCTGGCCGCACTCCTGAGCGCATTCCTGCTCACACTCTTGCCAACGCCCAAACTCCTGCCCACACTCCTGTCCGCACACTTTGCCCACACTCCCCTGCCCACACTCCCCCCCCCCCCCCTGCCCACACTTCTATACCCACACTCCCCTGCCCACACTTCTCTACCAATCTTCTCTACCCACACTCCCCTGCTCACACTCCCTGCCCACACTTCTCTACCCACACTCCCATGCCCACACTCCCCTGCCCACACTTCTCTACCCACACTCCCATGCCCACACTCCCCTGCCCACCTTCTCTACCCACACTTCTCTACCCACCCTTCTCTACCCACACTTCTCTGCCCACACTCCCCTGCCCACACTTCTCTGCCCCACACTCCCTGCCCACACTTCTCTGCCCACACTCCCCTGCCCACACTTCTCTGCCCACACTTCTCTACCCACCTTTCTCTACCATGGCTCCGGGTTCACGGAGGTGTGTTTACTCGCTGACATTATGCCATCCTTGGTTAGTGCACCCACACAGTTACTGGCCACAGCGTGAGCGGATCTAGCTTCCCCAGTTGACCCCCTTTCAGAAGAACAGTGTACACTCTGCCCACACTCCCCTGCCCACACTCCCATGCTCATACTCGCCTGCCCACACTCCCCTGCCCACACTCCCCTGCCCACACTTCCCTGCCCATACTTCTCTGCCCATACTTCTCTGCGCGCATTCCTGATCACACTCCTGCCCACACTCTCCTGCCCACCCTTCTCTGCCCACTTCCCTGCCCTCTTTTCTCTGCCCACACTCCCTGCCCACACTCCCCTGCCCACACGTCTCTGCGCGCATTCCTGATCACACTCCTACCCACACTCCTGCCCACCCTCCTGCCAGCCTTCATCAACATGCTCATACTCCTCCCCTCACTTCTCTGCTCGCATTCTTGATCACACTCCTGCCAGCCTTTCTGAACACGCTCATACTCCTCCCCTCACTTCTCTGCTCGCATTCTTGATCACACTCCTGCCAGCCTTTCTGAACATGCTCATACTCCTCCCCTCACTCCTCTGCTCGCATTCTTGATCACACTCCTGCCAGCCTTTCTGAACACGCTCATACTCCTCCCCTCACTTCTCTGCTCGCATTCTTGATCACACTCCTGCCAGCCTTTCTGAACACGCTCATACTCCTCCCCTCACTTCTCTGCTCGCATTCTTGATCACACTCCTGCCAGCCTTTCTGAACATGCTCATACTCCTCCCCTCACTCCTCTGCTCGCATTCTTGATCACACTCCTGCCAGCCTTTCTGAACACGCTCATACTCCTCCCCTCACTTCTCTGCTCGCATTCTTGATCATATTCCTGCCAGCCTTTCTGAACACGCTCATACTCCTCCCCTCACTTCTCTGCTCGCATTCTTGATCACACTCCTGCCCACACGCCTGCCAGCACTCCTTCCCACAAGCGCGCGAAGGACTAAAGGGACCGTCACTTAATTTTTGCCGACTACCCGCCAAAAAAATCTTTTCGTTTCACGTGTCAGACAAGTCCGCGTGCGCCTACGATCACGACTAGCGACTACGTAGTCGACTCGCTACCTTTCACGTCAAGCAATCTGTTCACGCCACATGGCTGGATATCGATACTAGTTCGTCCACCAACAATTGAAATTGATGTTTCTCACTTGAACACTCTGTAGAGCTGTCGCTTTCGTGACAAGGCCGTGTATACTCCAAATCTACATGTAGGATGAAGAGTAACAGTTAATACTGCTGATAATGCTGATAATGAAGTTTGCTCCACAATCGCTCAGAATGTTAATGTGTGTCCATGGAGTACTAAAACGCCCAACGTGGATGAAACGGACAACAGCAGCGGCTAGAGCTTTCTCCTTCCTCGGTGAACACTGCTACAAGACACTATGCTTGATGATTCACCAAACACCAAGTCACCATCGTTGGGGGCCAATTCAGAAGTTTTCCGGCACCAGCGAGTTGTTCGTCCAGCAACTAACTTTGAGTCTTTCTTCAACACTTCGTAGAGCAGCCGCGCAAGGCCTTTCCTTCACGTTAGGGTAGCGATCCTTCCTAGATGCTATCGCCATTCATTGTTACTTTTTACTACTGTACAATGACACTCCAGTAGTGTTTCTCCGAAAATAAAGTCAACTGCCATTACTGGGTAAAGAGTCAGTACTCTCACAACAGACTCAGTAGCAGCTCGGCCTAGCGCCTATCTGGACTTGTAAAAATTAACAATTATTTTGCAAGTCTTCAATCATGTATTGTTTGCTTGAACGCGCTATCGATATCCAGCCACGTGGCGTGAACAGATTGCTTGACGTGAAAGGTAGCGAGTCGACTACGTAGTCGCTAGTCGTGATCGTAGGCGCACGCCGACGTGTCTGACACGTGAAACGAAAAGATTTTTTTGGCGGGTAGTCGGCAAAATTAAGTGACGGTCCCTTTAGTCCTTCGCAGCGCCACTCCCTCCACGCTGCTCAGTCCTGCCCCCACTCCTCACTACTACCTACACTACTGCCTGCACTACTGCCTACACTACTGCCTACACTACTGCCTACACTACTGCCTACACTACTGCCTACACTACTGCCTGCACTACTGCCTGAACTGGCCTACACTACTGCCTACACTACTGCCTGCACTTCTGCCTACACTACTGCCTAAACTACTGCCTGCACTACTGCCTACACTACTGCCTACACTACTGCCTACACTACTGCCTACACTACTGCCTGCACTACTGCCTACACTACTGCCTACACTACTGCCTGCACTACTGCCTACACTACTGCCCACACTACTGCCTGCTCTTCTGCCTACACTACTGCTTACACTACTGCCTGCACTACTGCCTACACTACTGCCTACACTACTGCCTACACTACTGCCTACACTACTGCCTACACTACTGCCTGCACTACTGCCTACACTACTGCCTACACTACTGCCTACACTTCTGCCTGCACTACTGCCTGCACTACTGCCTACACTACTGCCTACACTACTGCCTACTCTACTGCCTACACTACTGCCTACACTACTGCCTACACTTCTGCCTGCACTAATGCCTGCACCACTGCCTACACTTCTGCACGCAGTTCTCTTTACACATTTTACCCAGGCGCGTAGCACCGCCGTTGGCGGTGGTCCGGCCAGGGGGGGGGGGGGTTCTGGGGGGGGATCTCCCCCGGAAATATTTTGAAATTAGGGTGCAAAATCCTGCATTCTGGCACTTTTGGCATTGTTTTACTATTTCGAAGAAAACAACTATGGACAGCATTTAAAGCCTGTTATCTCATCCACCATTGAATAGGTGTACAAAAACTCTCAGCAAAACTAGCGAGGAAAAGAAATGCAGGCAAGAAATAATAATATGTTACAGATGGCGTACAATATGCATTGAAACAATAAGTATAATATTTATTACTGTGCATGATTCCGCTGCTGTGTACGAAAGCCAAAGCCGCGGAAATAAGACAAGAAGAGCAATCACAGGCAAACTGCTAGCTGGGTTACTTAGCTGCAAGATCAGCATCCGTGAATGTGCCAAATATTGAGCGGAGATCCTCGCCGTACAACTCTGTCACTGCCTTGAACTCGTCTGTAGCGTCAACCCCTTTGGCACTCTTCAAGAGAAGGTTCTCCATCTGCGTGTATATGGCGAAGCCCCTTCTGATTAAACCGGGTCTGGATGGAGGACTTGGCACTGTCAAGCACTTCATAATACAGCTGCCGATTGTGGCCTTCCGGGGAGCTGGGGGTGGTATGCTGGCTCATCTCCACCTTCATACCTATGTGGACGTTTGCGTTTGCGAGGGAACTGCGGTTCAGAGACATCAAACTGGTGACTTTTTGCCACAGTAGCCTCCCAGAACATCGAGAATGAATTCTCTGTGCGCATCTTTGTGATTGTGTTCACCGTCAAACGTGCTATTTTCTGGGCTTCGGCAGCAGACATTGTTGAACTCTGGAGGGAAACAGAGAGGTTGTCACCATGTGCCAGGACAAGATGGGCCAAACTGATTCCAAAGAAGAAGTTGAAAGTCTCCATTTGAGCCTTCACTCCGATTACGCGAGCACGCACGTCGGGGTCCACACTCCCAGCCAGAACTTCATCCACAGTTCTTGCAAGACCAGATAGTTATCCAGGATGCTTTGCAGACTCTTGCCTCGCACTGTCCAGCGGGTTGGGAACAGCACACGGAATCCTGGTGTGTTGGGCGAGATCTCACCCTTCAGGACGTCAAATCGGGCATTCCGTTTTTGCGAGTACTTAATTAACTTGCTGATCTCGCTGGTGACATCGAGGGAATCTCTGGTCAGCACAGTCGTCTTGATGGTGTCGCACATTGCCAGGTTCAGAGAGTGCAAGTAGCAGTGCACAAAAAGAGCCTCTGACTCTTCATCTCCCAACTGCTTCGCGACACCAGATCTGTGGCCAGCCATATTTGAGGCACCGTCATAGCATTGGCCTCGGCAACGGTTGAGTTGGAGGTTGAGTCGCAGCATGCAGTCCCGGATAGCCGCAACGATCGTATCTGCAGATATGTTGTCAATCTGGCACAAACCAACGAAATCTTCATGAGCTTCCAACTCCTGGTCAACCCACCGGAAGCACAACGCCAGCTGTTCCTTGTTAGATACGTCTGCGCACTCATCGGCCATTACGCTGAACACCTCAGCAGTATGGATGGACTTGGCCACATTGCGGAGTATGCTATGCGACATTAGCTGAAGGATTTCTTTCTGGATTTCGGGGAGCAGTACTTATCCACACGTCGCTCCAGCCAAGCACGCAACTCGGAGTATGTAGCTTCTGTAGTTGCAGCAGTTGCATAAAGTTCGACTCTGCATCATCGTGGCCACGCAAGGGAAGACCTTGGCGACCCAAAACTTCATGTTCTCTAGGATTCTCATGAACATTCGCCGATTCAGGGCTTTCTCCTTGGCATGGGCTTGACTTAGCGCCTCACCAATGTCCGGGACAGTCTGCGGTAGCACAAGCATCACCTGGACAGCGTCGATATGACACAGCGACTTTTCGTGACGGCGGAACCCTCCGTGGCATCTTTCCAATTTTTGAAGCCACTTAGAAATGAAGGCCGAGTCCTTCGATGGCGCTTTCAGCTTCCCTTGCTGATCAGCAAAGGAACACAAATGGCAGGTCACAGAATCCGTCGACTCGTCGTAGTGCAACCAGTTGAATTTATCGAACCAAGCTGGTTGAAACGGACGCTCAACGATCGATGTTCGCCCGAAACTTCGCTTTGGAAACGCAAAGTTCCGAGGCTGATGAGCCTCCATGGTGTCCACACAAGCAGCAATCAGAGAGGAAAAAGACACACAACTACGAGAATTCTTTGGAAAAGTGGAACACAAAAAGCAGCGGATCAGCGAAGGCGTGCAAGCGAAAAGCGTCCGGGGATGTGCATCACACAGTGTACATGGTCGTAGGCCATACCGTTAGCCCTATATGCACGTACACTCGCATGTGTTACGCGTAGGGCTCCCTGGTGAAAGCCAGGAAGTCGTACGACCCCCTACGTTTCCCTGGTGTAGGCCATGCAGCCTTGCAGGGCCTTCAAAAAAACGTGGTCGGGCGAAAAAGTGGTCGTGTCATTAAGCAAGCAGTGTAGGGAAATTATTGCCACTGCCTACTGACCAGTACTTTGGCCGAGTGGTTGTGTGCTTTCCTGCCAATCGCAAGGTTCTGAGTTCAAGACCAGTGCTGCCACCAGTGAGCGTGTACATTGTTAACAAATGCTGTGATGCAAGCGTAAAGAACTTTACATGCAGTTAACTGCTCTGACAACCACTGTTAACTGGCTACTCACTACACTGTGTTCATAGTGAGGGTAACATAGATGCAGCTAACGAGGTTTGCACCTTGTCAGGCATTGCTTGTGATACTAAGTTACCCTCGCTGTCACGTGCTACATCTGCCACCCTGGTATCTCAGGCATTGTGGTGGCCTTGTACAAGCAAAACTTCCTAAACTGGTTGTGTTTCTCAACACAATTGCATAGGCGGTTTGGTTGTGTATCTGCGATCTTTACTTTCTTCTGCATATGTACTTCAAATAGGGAAGGGTGTTTTAAAGAGGATCTGGGAACTGCACAGCTCAATAAGACCTTTCTGCTTTCTAGGGATGACGACACCGACACATGAAAATACCACATGAAAAGACTACATGAAAAGAGCACATGCAAAGGTGTCAGATGCCGCTTTTTTACGGATGGAGAGGAAAATTCGGATCCAACAATATAATTATGGGAAAGGTGAAAACCCACTTTCTGCATCAATGTTGCCCTGTTTTCACACCTCGTGTTCCCAACTCACTGTGGTGTACAGCACAGTTGAAACAATTCTCTTCAAGTCAGGACTTGATCATGATACATATAGCTATCATTGCACAATCATGGTCTGAGAACTCAGTCACTGGGCCGGCCTGACTCATTATGTTGGAAATGGTGCAGTACATTTCACTGAACTTTACACAGGACTGATTCAACGGTTCTATACTTCATTGTTGAGTAATGCATGCGTAGAACTTACAGTGGTGAAGTGGATAGGAAAATTCCACAGCTTCCATGACCAGCGTGATGCTCAGCATGGCCTGATACATTCAACAGGAAAGAACAGAAAACAGATTTTAAAACTATCCCTGTCTCTGTGCAGAAGTATTCGATTATAGGAATGGGTATCAAAATCATCAAGGTTAGCATAACACATACCTAACCAGTCTTGTGTGCATTATCCACAGAGAAAATAATTCATTTTTTCGCATAGAATCCCATGCAAACTGAAGTTCTCTTTGAGACCTGAGCAAGCCCATAGATCAAGTTGTGTTGCAAGATAGTGTGAAGTAGACATTTGCACACAAGTAAACTAACACTAGCATACAGGGAGCACACATGGTGTATTAAGCACATTCAACTTTACCAGCATCATCTTGCCGAGCAGCAGTGGACTGACTGGCTTGATCAGAGTGTGACTGGCTGCCAGAAGGAACGCTCTCCGCGGAGTCTGACTGAACAGTCGAGGAAATAGCTCCGGCAGAGACCGGCTGGACGGCTTGCACCCGACGCTTCCGGAATATGTCTGGGAAATCGGTCGCCAGCTGCAGTGTGGAGAGTAACAAATATACAAACAAGCAACAAACATGGCTCTGATATCAACATCAGCTATTGTCAATATCATCCACACCACTGAGAGTGAAATGAATGAGAGGTACACGGCCGAGAATACATTGTGCATTGCGTAATGGTAGGTTACACATGTTTTGTTGAGTAAAATGTTAGAACAACTTGCATACATCAACAGAGACACATAGGCAGAGGGGGTGGAGAAGTAGAGAGAGACTGGGAGAGAGAGAGAGAGAGAGAGACTGAGGGAGACTGAGAGAGAGACTGAGAGAGAGGGGCGTGCGCAACAGGCCATCACACTCACCAGTTCTTCATGCTGCCGTAGCACCTTGCAGATCTTTGCAAAGCGCTGGGCGTTCGGTGATTTCACTAACAGCTGGTGAAGCTTGGTCGAGGTGTGATGGTAGTCGGTAACTGCCCAGCTGTGGACCAATGCTGCTGCAGCGTGTAGATGATTACTGTGCCCACGTGATGAAGATGATGATGTAAGGCCCAGGCAGGTGGCTAGCGCAGGCAGGTCGGACTCCACCAAGGCTTTCTCGGATGGACTCAAAGGACTGTGCAGAGAGCAGTGAGGCATGGTTGACCGGCCATTCGAGAAGAAGCGGGGCACGATCAACGTCACGTTGGCTAGTGGAGAGATGACCCTTTGTTGCTACGGATGATCGGACGTCCTCTGCGTCGTACACAGCGAAATCAAACTTGTCGCTTGGCTCGTGGAGGTGCTGACGAATGGAAGCAGAGCTGAGGATGCTTGTGGAGTAGCTAGTACCCGGGCTATACTGTGCTGCTAGGTCACCAACACCTTGCGCAACAGAGCCAGCAGACAATAGCCA